CGATGTCGGTGCCAAACACGAGTCTGTGCTTTCTCATCCATGTCAAGACATGGATAAGAAAGCACAGTCCATGGCGTTGATCTGCAATTTTCCACCAGGATATAATATATCATTGAGTGACATACCTGATGAGCTGGGACTGGAGCCGTTGAAAACGACTCTCAGTTTTGTGGTGATAGCCTCTTCGCTCAGAACCCCGTGGTGTGGCAGATAATAGGCTGGGGTAGGTTCTGGAGAATCCGGTGCTCTCTGCATATGTCCCAAAGCCTCGTACTCGTTGATAAACTCCTTGTAGAGCTGGGCATATTCCTGATTGTTGTTGAGTTTGCTGACTGTTGATTTGAGCTGTCGTGAAGCCTTGAACTTTGACTCCCCGAGCGCTTCTGCTGACGTTTTCAATGGGAGCCTCACAATGTAACGCCCTTTTGAATCTCTGCTGTGTGTTGATCTGAAGTGTTTTTCACACTCCAGCTCGTCTTGTGATAGCTCTGAGTTGTCTGAACGTTGGGCTGGTAATTCTTCCTGGACCCAAAACCTTTGTAGAAGCTCTAGTAGTCGTTCATTTGAAGNCCCCCGAGAGCTTCTGCTGACGTTTTCAATGGGAGCCTCACAATGTAACGCCCTTTTGAATCTCTGCTGTGTGTTGATCTGAAGTGTTTTTCACACTCCAGCTCGTCTTGTGATAGCTCTGAGTTGTCTGAACGTTGGGCTGGTAATTCTTCCTGGACCCAAAACCTTTGTAGAAGCTCTAGTAGTCGTTCATTTGAAGATTCCCATACAGCTGATAAGGAGACCCTCGTTGAGCGACCGGAGCAGTTGATTGGACCTGATAATATCCAACCAAATGCTGTTCGTTGGCCAACTAATCTTGACTGTTTAGACTTGACAACTTCATCTTTAATTATCTGCCCGTAGTTGTCAGCCCCTATTATTATATCTATTGGTCCAGGCTGNATAGCTCTGAGTTGTCTGAACGTTGGGCTGGTAATTCTTCCTGGACCCAAAACCTTTGTAGAAGCTCTAGTAGTCGTTCATTTGAAGATTCCCATACAGCTGATAGGGAGACCCTCGTTGAGCGACCGGAGCAGTTGATTGGACCTGATAATATC